AGTCACTGAATCTAATCCATTTCATGTTGCTCTCTGAAACAGAAGCAAGTGTAGAAGATACAACCATACTCATTACTCAAAAATATCTTTGTTTGACGTAGAACAATGGATAGTCAATGTTGTGGCAACTACCTATGGGAGACGTAATATTGTGCCTAGTACCCATTATTCGCAATATCTTGCTAGACTTGATCAAAATTCAGAGCGCGTCTTAGTGCAGTTGTTTGTTTTCTCGCTTGAGGGAAGCATACTAGAAAGGTTGTCATTGTTGCCACATTTTGTAAATGGAAGCTTAAAGCTATGTTTTCATTAAAGATTGCTTCATATGATTTATAAATAAAGAGTGTGGCATCTTGAATGATCTCGGATTTGGGGTCATTGATCATGGTTTTTTTGTTTATACTTGATCATGGTCAACATGTATGATTTCTAGATGTACAAGACTACTGTGATTGATAAACTTGTGTATTAATCCAATCTTATGATATGTCAGTTGGTTGTAATCACTTGTGGTCAAACTGTTTACGCTTGAATGCCGGCTTATTTGATTGTTGTTCGGAGTCGTGCTAAATATCAAATATACACATAGAAAAATGAGACTTTGTTGTTTAGTGAACCTTAGAATATCATCCATGGTAGAAGATGTCGCTACCCATTATAAGCCTTATTAGATCCACATAAGATGGACCAGCTTCCCAGAAAACGTTCTCATCTGCCAAGGGGTCAGGGACAACTAACAGAATCTATTCCAACACTTGCTAAGCTCTTTCACTGCTGAAAACTGTTATATCTCCCGTGTAGCTAACTTCATGTGATAAAAGCCAATAACAAATTCTAGCTATACAACGTCAAAGTTCAAATCAATGTGGACAACTTTCAATAAGAACTGCAACTTAGAAGCCTTGTGGCGAATGCATCTGCGCAGGAAGATGCACTAGCAAATTGGCTTCTTAAGAATGTTGTTTCAAGCTCGAACTCAACTGAATTAGCTCGAAAGTTTGACGAGTAGAAATTCTTTGTACAGGAACATGTATAAATCATATTTTTACAAGAATATATTCTTACAAGAACATGTATTAGATCTCATTGTATAATAACATATCAGTACTAGAACTCACCAACTGTGAGTTCCGGCGGTGAGTTTTACTCATATATTTGAAACTTGATAGATCTTATCAGCAATTTACGTTCAGATGGGATACCATCAAGCAAATATATCCAACAGTTTTTATGATGTGAAAGCATGAAAATTTTAATGTTAAAAAAATTGAAATGTGTAACACACGGTGAGGATGAGTACAAATCTATACCTGATTCAAAATGATCAAGTTACCGTTTTAAATATGATGGCTCCCTAAGTGCATGGCAAGTGTGGAGACAGCAAAAATGAGTACTAATCTGTATTTGACTCATAATGATCAAGTTACGATTGTATATATGATGGCTTTTTTAGGGAACGGCTAGTGCATTACAAGAGTGGAGACAGCAGCCAACGTCTTCAAATGTGGAGTTATACAAACAGATCAACTCTTACTTTCCTTACCATTCGAGTTACATGAAAATCTTTGACATTTTTGTTCAAAAGAGCGTTGTTGCAATGATAATAACTAAGCATATGATTCTAGAGTAGTATTTTTTACTCCATTGTGTGGGTAAATTTTCTCTATTTGAATTTAATCAAATGAATATTCCGATCACTGCACATTCAAGCCACTCATACATTAATTCATGCACTAAGTTTCGCATGCTCTTTGCTGAAAAAAATGAAGCTAGAATAAGTTTGCAAGCACATATTCAACCAAATTTGTCTCACTTGATCCATTTGACAACAGAATTATAATCACTGATGTGGACCCATATGATAGTGATCTACTTGGTGTATTCAAGAAATAAAAGTGGCTGAAATTTCTTTTTTTCATATGAGGTCTGGACTACGAGAAAAGTGTTGGAAGCAAGTATAGATCAGTGGATTATCTTGTTGTACTAAAAGGACAACAAGATAATCCAATCATTCAGTCTCCTTACCACCTATAGCCAATTGTACTTTGACGTTTTCTACTCTTGATACGTTATCTTGGGCTTTCTTGGCCAGTATGATTATTTATTTGCATCCTTTTTGAAAGTGATTTATTTTTATTTCATTTAATTTTTTTCATATAAACTTAGTCCCAATCCAATATCCCCGAACTTCAGTTTCCTCTAGAGCAATTCATCATGATGGTAACACGTATTGTACGTGCAAGTAATTACTTTTCTATCTCCGTAGCTACCAAATACCTCATCCAAACCCGAAAGACCTTGAATCATCACAACTTCGCTGCCACAATCATGAGCAGACCAAAAAACCGAAACACTTGTTCTACTGTCCTTGATTGTTTGCACTTTGCGAATAAAGGATTGATTGACTCTACAACATGTTTTCGCTTTTGCAGTTGGAAATTTGGAATCGACTGATGTCAACATAAAATAACAGCTTCATCGTTGTTTGATTCATATACGACTTTCTGTAGCCTCATGCCTCCAGTGGAAACCACCGTGAAAAATGCGATTACAAAATAAAACGCTTCTATAGACATTGTGCTACCAAGGTCAACTGTGAACCGTGAGGAAAATATATTACAAAGTCCCAAGCACTAAGCTTATCAACCTGATTGACTGACTCACATGATCCTCTCGAGCCGAATGGACAACGACACTCAATATATTCAGGTGAGAACCTCACACCGTTTAATCGTCTTGACCCAAATAAACATCAGCATTCCGACCAGGAAAGGTCGTGGATTCAACCCTCCATCCTCAAGCAGCCTAACCGATCGACATGCAGATTGACAGCAGCACACATCTCAGCTCATACTTTTGATCTGTCATCGGAGTTACACAGAACCTCACTATCGTCAAACAATACGGAAGAAAAATCTTGACACGCATGGTAGCCACTTCGCATGGTAGCCACTTCCCGTTTCCTACTTCCAAATGAAAATAAACATTAGTGAATGATTAGATATATATATATATATATATATATATATATATATATATTAACGGCTAATAAGTGCAGACATTTTACATTCCTTAATGTTTTTAAGTCAAATAATTATATTTTTTCTTAGTCGCTAGACGATCGAAAAAATGATATATCTTCATCATAATTATACTTTGACAAACCTTGCACCGTCCACCTCCACTCCCTCACTTCGTGTAAGTTGCCCCTCCATTCTTTTAGTTCAACTTTTGATCCTTGGCTACCAGTCACTACTGATTCTCTCTTCCTCATTCTGAATTTCACAATCGTTCTTGACTTAGAGTGTGGAGGCCATATAAACAAACTAAAAGATGATATAAGTTACGTATATTATCACCGTATATTGTATCAATTTTTCTAACCTCACATAATTTAATTTTGTTTTTAAAATCGAGTGTTCTCGTTCTCTAGAGAGAGCATTCACCATTGATATACATAGGAGGTCATTCATGTTCTATCATGTGGTATCACTATAATGTGCTACTTCTGTTAGTAATTATTTGATATGAATCGTTTTGATATAGTATGCGTCCTAGGACATATTACTTATCACAACATCTGGTTATTTTCGTTCATTGTTTGGTATATTATTGCGTGCTATCATTTTTTATATCCGTTTGCCCCTCCACTTCTAAGATTACATTAATCTGCACTGTTTAATCTCCACCACATTTGCAATATTTAACATTCAATTTCAAAAATTATATATTAACTTAAAATCGTGAGCTCTAATTTAAAGTCTACATCATCGAACCTGAATCTACTAACAGTGTCAACCGCCTAATTTGCTTTAATTGTAGTATTTGCACTTGCGCATTAAACTACTAGGGATGCTTTTATGAAAGATAAGACAAAGTAAGGGAAATTTTCATCGGAAAACATCCGTTAATGATGATGCTTCATCAGATAGTGTCTGTATAGACTTTTAGACAGATGATCAACTATTTGTATTGTCACATATTGTTCTCTGATGCCATTCAATCTAACCATATCTTTGTCCATCGGTGCGTATTGATTATGTTGCCTCTCGAGATGGCAAGTCACTTGTGAGCTTATTCTTGTCTGGTATATGTGAGCTGAGTCTGTCGAATCTCCAAAAGCCGGTCCGAACGGGAATTCACGCACGAGAGCCCAAATTCCACTACATTTCAGCCGAAACCGACATTGGCAAGAAGCTGTTTGCAGTTGGGGCCAGCAGCTTGCGTGTAGAGCCATCACAGGCTCCGGCCCATGTTGGATCGGGTTGAGGCCTTTCTCTGCTGACCCACCACCAGCAACTGCTCCTGACACATTCAAACCGGATCCGGTTGGAAGCTCGATGGACCATACCCGCCGGCACCACCACGCTCAACACCTCGAGACATTTGCTTCGAAGAAAAGAAATACTGTGTACGACTCCTGGAGCTTCCTTTTGCCTCGCGTCCTCTTCCCAATTCCTCCTCCGTCTCCGGTACGCCATGATTCCGTGACCCTACTCCCGATACGACCTCGAAAGCACCTGTGAGCCCGGTTCCATTCCGGCAATCGATCTGCTCGGAGTGATGTGGTCTTTGGAAGCGAGTTACCAAATTCCCGTAGTGGAGACTCTCCGTAAGTCCAAAGGCTTGACCTCCATTCATCTCCATCTCCAGCTCCAACTTCAGCTCCTGATTGACCACCATAATTGTCCAGCTTTTGATTGCTTCTGTGTTCGCCATGTGAGATGTCGGTGGAACCCAGTCGCTCGCCATCGATCGGCTCGTCTGCTCTCTCTGGCGATTGTCTACACTTTCGGTCGTCGCTGCATTTTGTCATATGCAGAAGATTTTTGCAGGCGTCGGAAGATGGATGAATCATTATGGCGACTCCAAAGGGGAACCGAGGTTCGCCCAACGTGTGGTAGCGGATGTATGAGAAGCGGGAGGAGGAACCGGCTGGCGAGGGTACGAGGTAGGAGGGGAAACCGGCTGGATGGTGGGGTCCAGTAGAGCGGTTGACAGCAGTCAGTCGGTCCGAGTGGCCCCGTCCCGCCCGCCCCAACAGTTAGAAGAGGGAGACGGAAGCCCTGAACATTCGTTCGCTCCCCCTTCCTCTCCTCTGCTCTTCTCTCTTCTCTTCTCTTGAAGCCCTGGATCGGAAGTTCACGAGCACCAGTTGCACACGCACAACGAACACGTCCACGGCACGAAGGAGCAGGAGAGGAAAGGAGGGCAGCGGAGAGGGAGAGCGCTCCGCCGGTCGGTTTGTTTTTTCCATCATCGGTCGGGGTCGAGAGCCAAGATGGTGAGTGTTGTTCGAGTAGTGCATGTGCCCTGGCTGTTGTTGGGGCGGGGTTGTCGAGTGATCCGTCACCGAGGGCGGGTTCGATTAGGTCAGTCGGGGAGGGGGGCGTCGTGGGGCATGTGATTGTTTCGGTGAATTGATGCTTGCGCTGGGATTTCTGTTTGCCGGTCTTGGCAGTTGTTTTTCTCCTACTTCAAAGAGCTGGTGGGGAAGGAGGTGACGGTGGAACTCAAGAATGACTTGGCCATTACCGGGACACTCCATTCCGTTGACCAGTATCTGAACATCAAGCTCGAGAACACGCGCGTGGTCGACGAGACCAAGTACCCCCATATGGTGAGAAGCTGCCCACCTCTCGTTCTCTAGTGGTCCAATCCCTTTGTCAATGACCTAGTTGTGTTCCTTGCGCTTTCTGCCACGCTTGCTGGGATTTCTATCGGGTGTTGTAGAGGTTCCCTGCGAAGAAACGGAAGATGGACTTGTGACATTAGCTTGCCAGTTTCACGCGCAATTTATTGTCGTGTGCGTGCTCTCAGCACTTTGCACCAAATTTATTGTTCGTGTGCCCATATGCTGCTTCTATCGACCCAGTTGCAGTTCAGTCCTTGACGACTTCGTTGTTTCTCTGCTGTCCCTAATTTGGTAGTTGAACATAATAAGTTTTGTAGCACGGGCGACGCCGCCCTCTTAAGCTTCTGTCGCTCACCTGAGCTTACTGCATCCGGTTCGGGCTCTTTGTCTCCACACACAAAACCCTAGCTTCGTTCGGTCACTTTTAGGCAGTGAAGGGCACTCTTGTTCACTTGGGAGTAGGAGCACTGCATTACACGGTTCTGTCTCACTGTCCTTCTTGAAAAGATAAGAACACCCTTCACTCCGCACTGAATTCTGGCTCACGCAAGTTTCTCATGGAACAAAAATTTGGTTTGCTTGAGCAGAGTGTGGTAGGAAGATGTTTGCAGGACTCCTTGATTCTCATGAACCTACCCCTTCGCATGGCAATTGCTCTTCCCTATCACTCAATTTGACAGTGCTTCCAGAGGGTACTGAAGTAAGACAGCCGAATTCTTTTCTTGTTTTCCCCTAGTTGTTGCACGCAGAGGACTGCAAGTCTTAGGGCATGCTTTCATCTTCTATTTATTTTCCTGGATACAATATTGCGATAATTATGAAGGCATGCATGTACCAGGTTTTGAGGCTACTTGTGTTTCGATTTAGTGACACCTCCTGTAGAAACGCAATGGAATTAGTGCAACGCCCAGTCGCAGTCTGAGGATCCTAAGTGATCCCTTGGATTTCTCAGGTGCCAAAGTCCATGATATTCATGTGGTGACAGCAGAAGGTTGTCAAAACTGGCAGTGAAGGGAATACACAGTTCAATTGCGTTTACGGTTCATATATGTTGGAATTATGCATACTGACATCGACTATGTCTGCTGTTTTTGGAATGTGTAGCTCTCTGTTAAAAATTGTTTTATACGGGGATCAGTTGTTCGATACGTGCAACTCCCACCTGACGGCGTGGATGTGGACATTCTACATGATGCTACACGGCGGGAGGCTCGTGGCACCTAAAATTGTTCGGAGGATCATGGTTTGCACACATAGAGGACAGACTCTGAACTTGTAACTTATAGCATTACTCCACACCGTGGGGTTGTCACAATCACTTGGCACCACTTTTGAGTGTTTTTGAGCATATATCTTTCAGAAGCTCATATTCATGTGGAAGTGGACATGTAGAAGTGTGTCTGCACTTGCCATGGCGCTCTTAGTCATCAGCTACAATTTTTTAGACAGTGGTTGATCCATGGCAACTGGGACAACTGCGCCTTGCCAAGTGTGACCCATACTGCGTTGTTCTGTACCACTTTTTTAGGTGCAGAACAGTACCTGTTCTACTCTCTTTGCGCACAAATGGCACTAGTTGAACTAACTAGTAGGTGGTTTTGTCGGAATGATGACTTCGCTCACGTCATGCAGCTCTTTTTACTTGTGTGACCGCCCCGCACTTCATCAATAGTTTTCAAAGTTACCTATGTTCCAGTAGCATCCGAATAGCTGGCCTCTTTTTTAACGGTCGGTTGTAAGGCTTGCTAGTAGACAGCGTACTTACTTTGGATCACTCAGATCAGATGTCACGTTTGTTGGCAAGTTGGGGTTGCGGAATGTTAACGAGGTTCTTTAACCAAACTGTTAACCTCTTCAACCAGATTTCTTCATCAGTTGGAAAACAGAGGTTGTTATCCATCCTATCTGGAGTGAAAGACCAGTGTCGAACTAATTCATGGTTGGTCTGGGCTGGCCGTGTGTGAGAGCCCTACTGATCATGATATTCCAAGTGCATGTGTGCCACTTCTATCTTGATATTGAATTTGTTCTTTGGTGACATTTGTTGATCGTTCCAATCTGTTCATATTGCGGAAGTTTGACATTATTCAGTAGTAATTTAGCAGTTGCCCCTCTCACGATCGTCACCTTTTGAAATTGGCATTCCTTCTTGTGGTTACACACACCTTTATTTTCAATTTTTTTTTGGATTGAAGATCGTGAAAACTGAAAATTGAAGATGTTTAACAATGTGAAACTTTTATTGTTACTCTCAAATCTGAACAGAAAATACTTCAGTGCAAAATGACATTTGCAGCTCTTTCATTGATCGTACATATAATTATTACCAGGTTAGATTTCACATTTCAGATCATCTGAATGTAAAGGACGTTGGATCAAAAAACAGAGTATAATGGGACCAACGTTGAAAAGTACAACACGTGTCCTCCATAATGCCACGATGAAACGATAGGTGAAAATTATAAATGTAAGTCGCAGCATCATCGGCTATATATAATGTCAATAGTTGTAATTTTATATATATATCCTACAGTCAACGAAATTCACCGCCCTCTTCAACAGAAGGCGTGCGCTCCGTTCGAGCACACGCACTGATATGATAAACGATTGTTGCCCGATCGGATACGTGGCGTTCCACTTCGTACTCTTCGAGTAGTCAGCACAATAATACGGCACATGTTTGACTATGCTCTCCGACTCGCTCAGCGTCCTGTCCAGCCAACCTGCGACCCCCTGAACATTTCAGATGCACGGCTCGGCGTTACAGTAACAATGCAGAAGGACGTCCCTGCCAGGGAATAAAAGCGTCCGGACCATAAATACCATTTAGGTACGCTCCGTCAGCGTGAAGGGAAGCACAGATGAGAACTCTTCGGTCGTGAAAAGTCGAGACAGTACTTTACTCTGCTGGTATGCGTTACAAGAGCTGATGTGATACATCATATACATAAAGTGGCCGAAGGTCTCTCTTGCTAGAAGCCTAATAAGTATGAACAAAGATGATCGGGGTTACAGGATATACAGCTTTTGCTTCACACAGAATTCTACGAGTGGATGGGTTGATTTGGGAAAACTGTCAAAACCTTGACAAGCCAAAAGACAGCAGACAGCCTACGCAGCTAACAGCTAAGCTACCCCACCGAGTCTAGCTCCTACACTCTCTTCATTCACTCATCAACAACATTTTGGGTTGAACACACACAAGCGTAGCTGAACTGCATGAATGGCCACTGCGTGTGTCCTCGCTTCAAAACCGGTTGTTTCAGATGATAAAGCCTCGTCGCAAATAACGAGCTCGAGCCTCTCACGCTAACAAGAGAACACCTTCAAACGAGTCCACCTAGTCCACCCACACCTTCACCGCTTGGCCACCTCGCGCATGTTGCCTGATTCAGCACCCACCACATCGTCAGGAAACGTAGATCGACGAGCTGATTAACATCCATTCGTACTGATCGGCAAGGGGAATCAGACAGACACTTTTACCGTCTTCGAGTCGTCGGACAGGGAATTAGAGAGAGAGAGAAAGGGGCTGATCCTCCGAACAGCCCATTAGACTCGCAGGAAGGTTCATTAGTTCGATCGACATTCATGTGCATCTGCAAGTAGCAGATCACGAAAGTAGACCCGAATGAAGACATGGACAGCTGCAAAAAATGTCCGTCAAATACCGAGAAATTAATGAAAAAGGGAGGTATCCCAAAAAGTCTGCGCACTACGGTACAGTGGTGAACTTTGACATCGTGTACCCCTCGGAAGCGGAGGTTCAAGGACCAGGTACAAGCAAGCCCAGAGCTCAAGGGGTCAGATGGTAAAACATTCGTTCGTAGTTTCCCGCCTGCTGCCTGAGGTCCAGCCATCTGTCACTGGGTCCCAAAGTAGACCGGGAAACTCGGGCAACCTGCACCGTGGACATGCCACTGTGCTCATAGTCGTCTCGTAGCACCTTGGCACTCAACCTTCATGAGCAATTCGTCCGCAGTCCGTGCTGAGAGTTGGTATGGCACATGATGCTGTGCGAGTGGGACGAAATTCAAACATCCGATCCGTCTATGGGCAACAGGACAGGTGCACCGGGTTGTGCTCAAGAGAGAGCACGGTCTCCCTTAATCATTACCTCTCGTATCCAGCGTATGGCCTGCACACTCTCTCTGTACAATCTCCGGTCCTTGTGGTGTTTACGGAGGTTCTACTCGACGGTGGATCTAGAGCCTAAGCTATTCAGTCCATTCAAAGAACCCAGATCTCAGAATGCTCGATTTGATGTCCTCTCTAATCTGCGGAGCCAGATGTCCCACGGGGGAATTTGCATCGCAGCTTGCAGAGGTAGGGTACACGGCCTCCCTTTGGCCATTGTGCCCCTTTCGAGTGCGCTTCCACTCAATCTGTGCGCAAGTTCCTCGAGTGTCGCGTTAGGTTGCTTCTGTTCTTCTGACCTCTCTCCTCCACCTGGTGTTCAGGCACATCAAATGCATCCCGGCTTTGCAGATATGGATAAAGTTGCGCGGTTTTTCTGTCGATCGCAGGGTACAGTGAGAGCAACAGTTCCAATCTCACAGGCATGCTGTAACTGCGTCCAAAATTGTGTCTATTTTGAGGTTCTTCCTGATTTGTTGGGTTGTCCCCTTCCCACTATTGGCCCATCGTTTCAGGAATTGTCTGGAGGCACCGCAAGGCTTCGGCAGAAACTTCAGCGTCCTCAGCTCACCTCGCCACGGTGACGTCAAGGGCTGAGTTACGAAGCATCCCTAACCTGCGCCTTACGATATCCTGATTTAGTCGACACTAGAGCTTCGGTGAAGCATTCCTTCTCCTCCTGGTGACCTATTTCGCCTCTCACGGAGGGCAAATGTGTGCCAAAACATGCCAAAAAGCACGGAGATTATTTATATCATGATCGTTCGGCGTCGTTCCAGAAACACCTTCTGAAACCTCAAGGCCCGAGGGGATGAGGGGAACATAAACCGAGAAGAGCCCATCTTTTTATTTCCGCGTCTTGTCTCCCGAGTCACGAATTTATTATCACGCGACAGTGATCAGAACATGGTGACACTGGAGGAAGAAGCAAACTGCCGGACGAAAGGGAGATCAGTCATGCAGCAGAAACTGTGCTGGGGACACAGAGGGAGAGAGAGGGAGGGAGAGAGAGGGAGAGTTAGGTTGGAGAGGTACCGTTTGCTTGCTTGGGGGGAGCTCGGAATGCAGGGGGCGAGGACTCCTCCGACTCCTCCAGGTCGTCCAGCTGGATGTGCATGATACCGAGCTCCAGGAGATCATCAATATCGTCAAAATCCTCAGCCTCGGCGGCGGCAGCAGCCTGCTGCTCGTTCTCCTCCGTGGTGTGTCTCTCTTTGAGCCAGTAGTCCCGAAACGACGGGCAGGTCTGAATCAGTCGCCACCACTCGGGCGAGAAGTCTTCGGCTGCCAAGTAAGCGGCTGGAACGAACGCGGGCGCATTAGGATTCAGGGTCGACGAAATTGGAGGCTTCGAGGCCATCGTCAGAGGCTGGTGACACATGCGAAATTTCTGTCTGCTTCAGCAGCTCCCTTGTCGCCGTCTCGTGCACCCGCACGCAATTCCGTATGCTCTCGCTCTATCTGCGCAGTCCGACTCACCAGCTGCCCTGCGGCGATTCAGCTTCCTCTCCCGTGACGGGGATCTCTCTAGACCCAGCAGCTCCAACGCCCGTGCTCAGCTGTGATTGTCATGTCCTGTCACGGATGCGCACAGAGTTGAGCGCGGGTCCTCAACCCCGATTGCACAGCCCAATCGACCTCGCAGCTCACGCCCTCCTATGCCCTGCTCAGATCACTCCCTACGATTGTGTCGACTGTGTGCCGAGCCTGAACGCCCAACACCATCGACCGCAGTACGTACTCGAAACTGGACTGACGTGCAGCAACACTCCTCTCCTCGCTCCCGGCCGTCTCCTACTGGTCCCGGTAGCTGCGAGTTCAACCTCGTTGGCTACACTCCACTCCTTTCTCTTACTCATTCCCCGATGTCACTCGAGCTCGTTCGTTGGCTGCTGCTCTAAGCCTCGCTCTCTCTCTCTCTCTCTCTCTCCCTGTCTCTCTCTGTGTCTCTGTGCTGCTGCGGCACACGGCTGCGATGCCCTCGGAGTTGTCGCTGTCCGAATCGCGAATCACTGCCATCTCTTCCCTCTCCCCATCTCCTCACGACCTACTCTGGAACAGCAGTAGATTCTCCACTAGGTTCCGTGTTCTTTTCGTTTCTCCATCACCACCTCAGCTCAGTTCAGTTCAGCTCAGCTCAGCTCGTCAGCTCTCTCTCTCTCTCTCTCTCTCTCTCTCGGTCCTTGCCTCGGGGGGTCCTCCACAGTACCTCACGGTACTCCTGGTCACCAGTCACTTGGGCCTCCACCACTTTCCTGTCCGTCTGACTGCGTCTTCTCACCCATTGCGGAAATCCGATCCCATTCACCATTTCCGTTCCAGTCCAGCTCGCCAGAGTTGGAAGCGCAGCTAGCACCACCACTCTCCATGGCGGTCTCCGTAGGAAGTGGATCTATCGGAATCGTCGACTCCAGCCAGAGCTCCGAGCTCCAACAGGGCCAGACATTCGGTTCGATGCCATCGAGCAGCCTCCATTCTCTCGACTGAGCTGGGAGCTAGTCCAGTCGCAGCAGAGTCCAGACCAGATCCAGCGGTCTCTGTTCCAAGTTTGACTGCTTCTAAGTTTGAATTGCCCCATCTTTTCAGGCTAACGCTTGGCTTGCCTTCCTCCGACCTGCCGCACACAGTCCTGTCCATGTCCATGCCCATCATCATCCTCCTCCTCCTCCTCCTCGAGCTGCCCTCCCTCCCTCCCTCACCCTCGAGCTCTGCACTCTATTTTACAGCCCTTTCTTTTCTCTCTTTTCGCTATCTTCTTTGTTTTGTTCGCATTCCCCGCAGTGCAGACCCGACGACAGCTCCAGTCACCATGGCAAGTTGTTCACGATCCAGTTCCATACCGACCCCCCATCCCTCCCCTCCCCTCCCCTCTTGTCCAGTCCCACTCGAAGCCTGAAACGAGTCCCACTTTCCCGGCCACCTTTCCAGGTCCGGTCGGGTCTGATCTGGTCTGTTCCTCGACCCAGACTTTCCCCATTCGCAGACCAGGAATGAATTTTGTTATTTTTGATCGGATTTATGACCTGCTTCCTCGTCGGCTCTAGAGCTCCGAGTCAACAAACCTAAGCTTCGCACCTTCTTGATTTTCCATTCAAGGCTTGGCCTTCCTTCGCAGGTCCCTACAGAGAACAACACCTTGATTCTTTCCATTGGTCGGATAGGATCAGATCTAACACTGTTGATTCCTCTCCCACCTCCCCCCGAAGGATCTGGTGAGGGCTACTATAGCAACCGGTGCGCTCTATCGTCTTCGCAAGTCTGCATATGAATTCGGCATGTTCGTCTTGCTTTGACCGGGGACAAGATCTTGCGAAATAAAATGGGGCCTAGGCCCCTTTGTCACCCCTCCCGTTTCATCCACGTAAGATTGGAAGGGGTCGTCCCGGAGTTCTGCCATTTTACTTCTCTCGTGCTCTCGAAAAAAGAAATCAAGTACGAGCACTGTAGGCGGCGATTCCTCCACATGTGGACTTCAGGTTCCTTATCCGCTTCACTGTTCGCGAAATGCAGAAGTGGGCAACAAGTGTCATTCCGGTGAAGGATTCGTGATTATCGACTCCGAATCTTCGTTCGACTCGACACGCTTGGGATGGAAGTACGAATGACAACGGCCAGGAATCTCAATGTGACATATGATGTTTCCCGTTTGTGATTTGGACTATGAAGTCTGAAAATTTTCCTGCATGAACACTCATCTGTTGAGGGCAATATAATTTGAGTAACCTCGAGGTTAAGTATGCACCCGTTTAGGTATGCTTACCTAAACGGGTACGCAACCTTGATAACTGAGCTTTTAAAAAAAAACACTGATCAAGTTTAGGGTTTACACGGATCTTCCACAGTGTAAGAGTCTAGATTATTAAGAAGCGTTCAAGGTTTTTGATTCTATTGCGAAACTTTTTTACAAGTTAAAAGAGAAAGGTTCAAGGTTTTTTACTCTATTACGAAACTTTTTTACAAGTTAAAAGAGAAAGGTTTGGTGTTAATCTAGTCCCGATAAAAACCCCAGGTTCATGGGCGATTTTGAGGATTCGATGGACGGATTAGAAGCTTGGAGGGCGTTGAGCTTCTACAAAGATACATCCAAAGACACACCTACAAGTCTCGACTTTTCTCTCAAACCTCTCTTCTTGTTAAGAAATGTTGTACGAGGGCGGTGAACTCCTTCAATGTATACCTCCAAACACACAAGAAATTCATCTCGAACCTCTCTTCTTACTAGCGCGATGATCTCCTTCGGCATATCACTTCACTCCATAGACAAAACTACATTTCGTGACTTTTCTCTCCAACCTCTCTCGGCAGATAACTCCACAGACACAACTACAATTCGTGACTTTTCTCTCCAACCTCTCCTCTTACGAGCCGATGAGCTCCTTCAACATACCCTTTTAAAGACACTATTACAGTTTAGGGTGACAGCACGTGAAAAGTAACCTTGTGTTAAGTACGCAAAATATTCTTATGATCACTTTTCGTACTTAACCGGAAGATTACTGTACTATCATTTTTTATATGCTTTTTAAAATCTGGCACATTATAGCATTGTTTTCCATTCTCGCAAACATGCACAAATATCAACAATTTCTTCGAGCAAGAATATTTGTGTGATTCTGAAGTTGAGATGTATGTGCAGTCCTATACCAACTGGCTTTTAACATTATTGGTCAAGTGAAATACATGGAATAATATCTCCGTGTTACTTAGTCAAAAAAAATCATCAATTAGAGTGAATTTATGTAACTGCAAGTAGGATTTAAATCTTGAAGAAGAAAAATTTTCACTTGTTAATTTTTACATGTCAATTTCCAAAAATTAGAAATATTTTTCAAAAATGTAAAAGCATACTTTCAATCCACTCAACAAAATTTTCATGTCTTCTTGCTAACAATACGTTGCATTTTCTTTAAAATGAGCATTGAAGAATTGAGCGTTATGATTTTCTGCTCTTCTCAACATGACGATATGGTGATTTTGTAATTTTGATTGACTTCGTCAATTCAAACAATTCTAAAGAATCATATATGAACTTTTCAAAACTTATGAATTATAACTTTTGGTGTTCAACATTATCAACCGGTTTGTGAATCTTATAGTTAGATGACTTCTTCTAGCTGTATAAATCTACCTACTAAAATATTATGAATCCAGTCATAAATTATATGAATACTTAATTGTGATTCGTGATTTACCTGAAATCAAAAAACTATATGTAAATGTATATAACATCAATAAGATTGATTGTCACAATTAAGTTTATAGTGAAGATTTAAATGATAAAATTGAAGTGAATGATTGAAAAGTATCATATTACTAATCATCAATAAAGTTCTAACTACATCACAGTAAATTTGAGATTTGTAGAATGTATTTTAAATTTATAATGGTACAAAACATGAAAAGAAATAAATGCAACAAAGTTTAGAGCAAGAACAACATTCAAAGTAACATGTATGTTCAAGAAGAGATAGGGATAGGTCATTCATCTCAACCAAACTATGTTGAAGAAACACATATCCTCATTGATTAAAGGTCAAAATTATGTCATTGAAAGCTACCAACGGTTACCTTATATAGTGACTAAATATATAGTTAAACTATCAAAAGTTAAACTAGCTAAAATACATCAAAATCAAAATTTAAATTGATTAGTTTTCTCCCTAACTAATGTTTTGAAAAATATAAACTCAAAAAAAAAATCTACTTTGCAAAAATTTTGAAATAAAAATATAACATAGACTTACTTTGCAGCAAAATTAAACAAATTCTATTAGAGTAAAGTCATATAAAGGATTAACATCATCGCTAGTACTATTCTACTTGTAACCTTATGCAAATTTTGGAATATGACGCTATGTTTTAGAAAACTTTCAAAATCAATCACTTTCCACAAAAGCACCAATACAATGAAGCACGATCAGATTTATTGTCAATTTTAAATAGCTTAGCAAATACTTTGTGTTAAAAAATGATAAATGATGCCAACTAGTCCTATTATAATCTGGTATCTATCACATGATATACAACTAGACATACAGTTTTTTGAATCTTATAATAAAGTTTCATTGTGAATCTTTATTCACAATACTCTTAGTTGATCTCATTTTGTGTCATCTCTATTCACTCAAATTGACTTTTATTGTTTTTGGTTGTTGTTTCATATTCAGCTTCCATAAGGGTCTAAACTAAAAAAAAATTCAATTTAAACCTCTGATTAATGATGCATTAAATCTTCAATAATCAATCATATTGAATGTATTTTTTATTCATCCAAATCTTTTATAAAGTGAGCATCTAAATAATTATTTAATAATTTAAGAATTTTCAATTCTAGTAAAACACAAGAATCAATTTTAATCTTTACTTTTGATATCAACAATTTCACGTTTTTAAGATGAATGAATCCTGGATTTGAAATTTATCATCTCATTTAGCTCATAGCAAGAACATTTTCAGTGATGCAAATAATAAAAAAACTATAAACTTTACACTGTTTTGTTGTATGAAACTTGAACATCATATCTTTCAAACACTTAATCTTTCACACAACAGCATGCAATCATGAAACAAAGTAATATTCATACTTTTTGCAATTATCAAAGTTGAATCTTGGAAATAACTTTTTAACATATGTATCTTAAGTAAATCATAATTTTCATATGTTTTGTTGCCTTGTACATCCATCTTCAACATTTATCTAACTGCATGGAAAACTTTTACTTTAAACTTAAATAAGCTTTGAGCTTATCACCATCATATTTAATTACTGCTACAACAGGATATAAAAAAATGTAATTTTTTTGCTACATTATTTACAAATAATGAAGCCTATAAAATGTATAATTCACCTTTGTGATGTTTAAAAAAGTATGAAATACACTGTGTTTAGATAAACACTAATCTTAGAAGTCAACAAATTCCTTGTTTTATAGTATATAAGCTTATTTAAATTTGAATAGTTTACTTTTGAAATTTCGAATCATGTTTTTTAAATTCTTTTTCACAAAGATCATAATTTTGTTTCCAAAAAATTTACTTTCAATCAAAATATATTTCAATTATGAAAAATTTCATTTGATTAGAGTAAAATCATGCAAAATCACAAATACACACCTCACTTAGAAACTAC